GCAAAGACGAGATTTCAAATAGACAGCTCATTTCCCAGGAGGATAGAAACGCTGTTTTTATTGTCAACCAAAGTCCTTTTGCTGTCTCGCTTCAAAAGTCGATGACTGACTCAAATCGTAGGTCATACAAAAGAAATTTAATGGTTATTCACAGAACATCGGGCAAGGGTACAGTACAACATTCTCCCAGTATACTTGTTATGTACAGATGGGTTGCTCAACCTCGTCTTACTGTAGCCACTGAACTGGTCGTCTAGCTAGCTCATCTGAATGCGTGTAGGAGAGGTGGCGCTGCTCAACAGGTGATCAATGGCTCTGCGCCTTAAAAGCACCCGGTTCAAACTACAGAAAGAGCATAAAATTTCTGTTATCACCTAATTATTCCCAGGTGCAAGGAATTCGTTCCACTGTACCTCAGTACAACCAACTGAAAAACGGTCGCAAGTCATTGATCTGCGAATTGCGGGAATAACATGCTGTTCCGGCGTGTTCATGATGGAGCGTGTGTCAAACGCCTTATGGTGGCAATACGCTTAACCTATGGATAGTTAGCTAAAAATTAACGTATGTCTAAAAGCATGAATAACTAAAGAAATGCGGCATTTATGGACTGATCACTGTAATGATTTTCCTTGAGGCAGAGAAAACATCCCTTTACCTAAACCTTCGTCAGACAATGTCACAGGGCTGTCACCTCTGTCAATTATTCGACTAAAATCATAATCATTCTTGATGCACGGTTTGTGTGCTATCGACCGACAGATGCGCAGCAACGCCCGTTCTACGAAAGCGTAGATCAAATGTGTACGTACAAGAAATACATAGTAAACATTCGAACAAAGAGCTCTGAAGCGTATGTATGCTTTCAAAGAGATAGTAGGTGCACCCATGACGCACCGCAGATCATTCATCCTACGACAAACAAAAATGAATTGTTTCACCGTCCTAGGGTAATGGAATCGGAAAGTTAGGATTTTTGATCATTGCGCCGTTAAATGAAAGAAAACCCTGTCTTCATAAACTATTCGACCTACAGGTTAGCAAATGAAGATTTGCTACCATCCATAAGACAAGAAGTCAACAACGCACCATGATGGCATCGATCTTATCTGACGTCGGCCGAAGCAACTGAAGAAGCTGCTCCTTGGTCGGGTTTGACGTCTGCATGGCAGTGCCAATAAAGCTTTTCTGAGCGCTGAACGCCGCATTCACCAAATCGCCCTAAAAGCACACCATCTAAATTTACAGTTCAAAAATTAGTTTATATCAATCTTTCATAAAAGAATTTATAAACATGGGCTTTTCTAGACGAGTCGCTGGCCTTTCGCTTCTAGACATGGTCCGGAACACTGACATCCGAGAAAGCTTTGGTGTACAGCCTTGGCTTCCCCAGATTGAGAATTCACAGGTAAGATGGCTTGGGCATGAGATGCGAATGCCTCTATAAAGGAGAGCTAAGCAACCGTTTCTATCGAAACCGGCCGGCAGAAGGCCAAGGAGACGGCCAAAAATAACTTGGTGCAAATATATGGAAGGAGTCTGCTTTAGGCCCCAGTTGTCTTCTGTCGAAGCTCAGGCTCTGGCACAGGATCGGTAACGTTGGGTGTCTGCCTCCGCGACCCGAAAGGAGCAACGGTTATGGAAGATGAAAAAGATGAATTTATAAACTTAACACTCATCACATTTTCAAAAGAGCAGCAGACGCTAAAATGAGTTAAAACTAAGCACCACAGGAAAGGTAGTAGGAAAAATTCACTTTGGTTTCATGCCAATTTTACTCTATTGCCCAGAATACAAGAATATATTCAAACTAAGACGAAAGTAATCTTAAGCTGCCAAGACTCGCGCTTAATACGTGGGGTTAAGAAATATACCATGTATATGACTATATGATAATCGATCTATAACAGATTATAGAATGTCGTTGTTTCGAAAAGAGAAAAAACTGACCGTAGGAACATCTCTGGATTGAACAAGACTGAAGAAAAGAAGTTAATCGCATGAAACTAATCGCATTAGAAGTTTATGGCAAAGTCTTGGTTAAGCTGTCATCAGTAGCAGATCGCAAAAGACTGACTGATGAGTTACAATATAAGGTTATTCATAACGCAGTGTTACTAATATTTATATACTATATATTATAACATTACGAACAATAACAAACGAACAAAATCTTTCTACTAATAAAATGCGCCAGTTAACATGTATAAAAAACGTGTATCTGAAGTAAAAGAAACATCTGTAAGCAAAAATAGAGAAGTTTACAGCCCAACACAGCAAGAAGTCAATGAAGAAGTGAAGCAGTTCTAGGAATAACTGAAATCCACAATGCAAAGGATATCAACGTACACAATCATCCATAGAAATTTAAATGCCATAGCAGGAAAGAAAACAATCAATATACAGTTTTACTGGCCTGTTTAGAAGTGGAGAGCGAAACGAACGCGGTTCATGACTATTACATTCGCCGTAAGTCATCTTCTTCATATCGCTAATAACACGTGGACTAGCGGCGCTTCCCTATGGAACGGCGCTGAACCAAATCAATTGCATAATGAAGGATACAAGGCGAGTAATAGCACAGGTGTGTCTGTGACTGAGGAAAACATCATCTGCGGGGAGATGAGATCAGAACACAGACTGTCCCGCTCCACGGTAACTATATATCGCTAAAGATTAAGATAGAAGGGTTCAAAGACTACTGGTCATGGGGCGAAAATTCTACGATCCTGAAACCTTCGGATACAAGCTTCTTCAGATGAACGTTGCAACAGACGTGAGCAAAGCCACTGCTGCAGACCATCAGCAACTTATCGATGTCATCAAAGGTCATCCAGTCGGGCTGCTAATCGACTAGGAAATAACGCTCGAGGGCTGCAACAAGGTAGCTGTTGGCTAGAAGAACCAGA